AGGCAGAGGGGTTTCTAGGGGCAATGCAAAAACAAATTCAATCAGTTGGAAAACGTGGTTTTTTTTTTCGTTCTAAAAGATCCGCGGGCACCGAAGTGCGGGAGAAATTCACATTTGCGGATATGATGTGTTTCCAAAAGGTAATAACATATTAAGCTTGATGATGACAATTTGTTTTGTTGTTGATTTTATCAATTGGGGATTTTGTTTCAACTTTTGACAGGATCCTATCCCAACTTCAATCCTAAAGATAAACAGTGATCTAGACGTGGATTGAAAAAAGTTAATAAATGCTGATTAGGAAATTTTGACCAAATCAATAATAAAAAATTTAGAAAATTAAGATTGGAATATTGAAACTTCTACAAGGCTTGGGGGTTAGAAACCCCCTTTTCCTTATATATAGACTAACATATCACCCGTGCTATGCAGGGATTGTGTTTACAATATCTATATATGTGAATTGATATTTTTAAATGTCTTTTTTTTTTTTAAATATCTTCTTTTTTTCTTTTTTTGTATTATATTAAAGTTTAACATTTTGATAATAATCATATGTGTTAGACTTTTCAAGGAATTAAATGTCTTTTTATTATTATTATATTAAAGTTTAATATTTTGATAATAATCATATGTGTTGGACTTTTCAAGAAATTATTTTTATGCTTGTTCTTAATGCATTAAAATGTTATTATGAGGGACAATAATCATATGTGTTGGGACTTTTCAAGGAATTCATATGTGTTGGATTTCAAAGAATTTTTTTCATGCTTGTTCTTAATGCATTAAAGTGTTATTATGAGGGTAAGACTTGAGGGTTGGGAGAAGTTAATAAATGCTAAGGTTTTTTTTTTTTTAAATAAAAAAATCAGGAAATTTAGATTGGGATATTCTTGGTTAATTATGAAACATAAATCTTTTATTTTTTAACAAATTACAAATATACCATAAAATTTAGTTAAAATATGAATTGGTCATATAATAGTAGAAATTACAACTATAGTTTGTGATAAATTTTAATTTAATACAATACTCAAGGAAAAGAAAGAAAGAAAAAAAAGAAAAAAAAAACTATTATCCTATGCAATAATAAATTATCAAAATTGTTTATTAAAAAATATTTCTCATATCATTAAAAAATTATTAATTGACTTAATAATTTATTTATTAACAAAATGGTTAACTGAAATCTTTTTTCATATCATTAAAATTATTAATTTACTTAATGATATACTTATTAATAAAATTGATCAGTTGTTGTGAGAGTATGATTTATGTATTAATGAAATTAGTCATTTGTATATGTATGTATTTTCTTCTGCTTCTTTATTAGTTTAGTGACTTATCTTAGTATTTTTTTTAGATGAGAGAATTATCTTAGTATTTGTTTTATATTTATCTGTTGAAAACAACTACACATTGTAATTTTTTTTTTTAATGAATTCGGAAGAAATATTTAAAACTCATAAATTCACCCAAAATGATATGATAATAAAATTAGAGTCGATATTATTGGTTGTATAACAAAACAAAAAATCATACATATTCATAACACATAATTCTATCATATATCTAAATGTCTTCGTTTTTTCCTTTTTTATGTTATATTAAAGTTTAATATTTTGATAATAATCATATGTGTTAGACTTTTCGAGGAATTAAATGTCTTTTTTTTATATTATATTATATTAAAGTTTAATATTTTGATAATAATCATATGTGTTGGACTTTTTAAGATTTTTTTTTTATGCTTGTTCTTAATGCATTAAAGTGTTACTATGAGGGTAAGACTTGAGGGTTGGGATTTCTTCTTTTTTTCCTTTTTTATATTATATTAAAGTTTAATATTTTGATAATAATCCTATGTGTTAGACTTTTCAAGGAATTAAATGTCTTTTTTTTTATATTATATTATATTAAAGTTTAATATTTTGATAATAATCATATGTGTTGGACTTTTTAAGAATTTTTTTTATGCTTGTTCTTAATGCATTGAAGTGTTATTATGAGGGATAATAATCATATGTGTTAGCACTTTTCAAGAAATTCATGTGTGTTTGATTTCAAAGAATTTTTTTTATACTTGTTCTTAATGCATTAAAGTGTTATTATGAGAGTAAGACTTGGGCGTTGGGAGAAGTTAATAAATGGTAAGTTTTTTTTTTTAAAATCAAAAAATGAAGAAATTTAGATTGAGAGATTGGAGCTCTCACAAGACTTGGAGTTAAAAACCACCTTTTGCTTAATATATAGTATAGATAGTATAGATATGTGAATTGTGATTTTTAAATGTCTTTTTTTTTAAATGTCTTATTTTTTTTATTATATTAAAATTTAATATTTTGATAATAGTCATATGTGTTGGACCTTTCAAGGAATTAAATGCCTTCTTTTTTTATATTATATTAAAGTTTAATATTTTGATAATAATCATAATGTGTTGGACTTTTTAAGAAATTCATATGTACTTCACAATTATTTATATATGTGAATTGTGATTTTTAATTTTTTTTTAATTTTTATTTTAAATGTCTTCTTTTTCTTTTTTTTATATTATATTAAAGTTTAATGTTTTGATAATAATCATATGTGTTGAATTTTTCAAGAAATTCATAGGAATTGGGGTGGCTGCTGTGCACTGCTGTGCAGGGGTGCACAGTAGCCATTGCTGTTCAGCCAATTTGGCCCTTTTTGGGGCCTATTTTGATAATCCGAATCATTCATATTTTAGAATAATGGGTAAACGATATCCGATTAACTTGATTTTTTATAGGTATGTTCTACTTGATGTATTCTAAAATGTGAACGGTGTGGATTATCAAAATGAGCCCCGAAAAGGGCCCAATTGGCTTGTTTTAATTTTTTTTAATATATAAATTATGTTTTTTAAGATTTTTTATAAAAATAATTTAACAATCTTATTACTAACCATAGTGTACACGAGAAATTAAAAATGCTACTGCAGTAACTATACACGGACTGTATCTATAATTATTTGTATGAGGGGATTTTAAATGTTAATCAAGGATTTTGACCAAATCAATAAATGCAGGCATGTGGATTGGAAAAAGTTAATAAATGCTAATCAGAAAATTTTGACCAAATCAATAAATGCTGAGTTTCTTATTTTTTTTAAATCAAAAATTTAGAAAATTAAGATTGAGAGATTGGAGCTCCCATAAAGCTGGAGGTTTAGAAACCCCCTTTTTCTTAATATATTTACAATTATCTATATATGTGAATTTCGATTTTTAAATGTCTTTTTTTTTTAAATGTCTTATTTTTTTCCTTTTTTATATTATATTAAAGTTTAATATTTTGATAGTAATCATATGTGTTGGACTTTTTAAGAAATTAAATGTCTTATTTTTTTATTATATTATATTAAAGTTTAATATTTTGATAATAATCATATGTATTGGATTTTTCAAGAAATTTTTTATACTTGTTTTTAATGCATTAAAGTGTTATTATGAGGGATAATAATCATATGTGTTGGAACTTTTTAAGGAATTCATATGTGTTGAATTTCAAAGAATTTTTTTTTTTTTTTTTTTTTTTTTTATTCTTAATGCATTAAAGTGTTATTATGAGGGTAAGACTTGGGGGTTTGGAGAAGTTAATAATTGCTAAGGTTTTTTTTTTTTTAAAATCAAAAAATCAGAAAATTTAGATTGGGAGATTGGAGCTCCCACAAGACTTGGGGTTAAAAATCCCCTTTTGCTTAATATATAGTATAGATAGATATATAGGTAGATAGATAGATATAGATATAGATATAGATAGATAGATAGATAGATAGATAGATAACAAAAGTTACTAATTGTCAGTTTTCAGCGACAATTTAAAAAATTCATCAAAAAAATTCACTAATTCTAAATTTTAGCAATAGCTTAAAAAAAATTCATAGAAAAACGTTACTAATTATCAATTTTTATTGACGAATTAAAAAATCATCACAAAAAGTCATTACAAAAAGTCTTTTTTAGTGACTATTATGATAAGACCAACTTTTAGCGATGAATTAATATGATTTAATGGGAATTAAGTGCAAGTATTAACACTTGCTAATAATTTACCAGAAGATGGGGGTTATAATTTTAAAAACATAAAAATTAAAAATATTATATTACCTTTACCTATCAGTCAATTTATCCACTGTCCATCTATCTTTCTAAGTATCATCTATCTATTCACGTATCATCTCCCTATTTGCCCTTATGTACCTATCTGTCAACTTAATTTGTCTATCTATTCATATCACCACCACGAAGTTGCTGGCATTAGCCACTACTTGCCACTTTTTGGGAAATTTTTTAAAGTAAGTGGTCCGACAATGATATAGTGGTAGTGGGGTAGAAATGAATAAATAAATAATCCTTCAAAACAATAATTGTTCTCTCACCAAATAATTTCATTAATCATATGTCTATAATGATCAATTATCTAACCTAATATCATATCTTATTATCACTCAAATACCCTTTTATATATTAAGTATATATTTTTTACACGTGTGAAAATTTCCACCATTTGGTAGCTACTAAAAGAAAATAAACTTAAAAAGCAACCATTGAATTATATATTACAAGTTTGCAAAATTGTTACATGCATCAAGTAATTCAAACTCTCATACGAAACCTTAAAATTATTACATGGATCAAGCAACCATCAATTCATTATATGAAACAGTACTAAAAAGAACAACAATCCAAGCGAAGCCTTGCCATTACAACTAAAGCAAACTAACACCATAACAAAACCACAGAGATTAAAAGCAAGAAAAAACTCAAAGCCAAACACTAGAAGCTTTGGGGGACACAACAAAAGTACATCAAACAACAACATCTGCAAAACACAAGAAACTAGAATTTCTAAATGGTTTAACTCAAACTTGCATGAGCTAATCTCCCAGAAATTTGACACTTATTCAAGGCTTGAAAAGTATCAGAAGCAACGTCCTATATCCTTTAATTCTGACTCTATGTCTTGTTTGTCATTCAATTATTGAGATGCATTTTTCTCCAACATTTTTGTTGCACCCAAGTGCTTAAGTAGAAGCCAGACATGAGTGGAAACTGTCCACCATGCCTAAGCTCTTGAACATGGTGATTCACCGAGCAGCAGCTCGCAGCATAGCACAACATCTCTACCCATAAATTACTCATGATCTCCCATTTGTCATCCTTCTCCATTAAACTACCGGCAAGTTCTTTTCCATTAGACTCTGCTTCTTTAAAAAATTTATCCACATCAGGATAAGCTTGCTTAAAATTTTCACTGTTGTTACAGAAAGGTAAAGTAGGACAAAAAAGCAGAAGATGCATAATGTAATATGACAATATTTTGGTTGTTTTCACTTTCTTTGTGAATGACTTTGAACTTTCTGGTTCCACTCCATGTTTTTCAAGGCAAATGTCTGTAGCAATGTGCCAAACGGCAATACTTTTGCTAGGGGTCCACTCACCTCTTTTAATGGTATAAGCCTGTGGAGTTTCAACTTCCAAATCATTCTGTGATATCTTACCAAGCTGACAGACGATAAGTTCTTTGATACTATGGTCGACTCTATGTGATGGTAGGCTGAATTTCTTCCATCTTTTTTCGATGCCACATAGGCCCACCACCATGTCATCGAACTTTGTCCGTTCATATTTGTTGCAAAAGTTTCGCAAGCTAAATTGTCCCATAACCTCAGACCATCTTTTGTTTTTAGAGATCACAAATTCGTGAAGATTAAAAACTGGAGTAACCAACTTACTGGGGTAATGCTTACATGCCCAAACAATTGCCCAATTTGAACCCAGTTGCACAAGAGCTCCACCTATTTCTAAACAAATGGCTCCAACTAGCAAAATTATGGTTATCGGAAGATCACCTTTTAAATGCCCATCAGGCTTTTTAACTAAGAAAAAGCCCACCAACACAGTGACAATGCAAGAGATGGAAATGAGTCTGAGAATGCTTCCACATACTGTAAAAATTATGCCTATCTTATTGAAGAGCATGTCACACATCAACCCCAACTCAATCTCAATCAACTTAAAAGTATTGTGAGCAGCATCATCTTTATTCATCAATTCACGAAATTCTTTTGTCAATTTGTTCACTTTGGACCTAGCACACTCATAATTGGAAATATGAGGTTTTAAGGTCTGGAAATAAGAATAGGCTTGGAGCACTAGCTTGGCGTTAGGTTGTGCACTACTGATTTTGTCAATTGTGTTTTCATCAATTTGAACAAAACCCACATACTTTTTCTTGGATATTGACTTGATTACCCACACTCTCTCTCCATACTTGATAAGTGCAGGAAAGAGCATCAACAAGGCCAAAAGAGAGAACCTCATGGTAGAAGTCCAAGTTAGAACCAGGACGTAACTTGTTCTTAGACCTTGTGTCAATAGTCCTATAGCGTGCCTCGACCACATTTGATTTTCTTCCAAGCGTAAGACGGTCATGGTATCTGGACCTCCAAGATAAAACAAGATTATTGGTGCCCATAAACCCCTCAATAGACTAATTGGACTGATATCATCGTCGTCACCTTTGACCTTGGATAGCTTTCCAAGTGCAATTTGTGCCAGTAAATCAGAGAACAAGTAGAAAAATCAGACATTCACATTGATCATCAGCTGTGTCGTACCCTTTCTACGATGACGCCCAAAAACATGAAGGTATAACTGAGTAAAAAGGATGTATAGAACTAGAATCCTCAAGTCCCATTTTTCCCATCCTTTTCTCATGCCTTCAAGGCCATTCACTGGGCCAAACATACAGGTCCTGATGCATGGCATGGTTCTATCTTCTATGCTACAAAGATGGATGAGAAAAATAGATAAATAAAAATAATGCAATATGACCAATATCTCATGGTATCAGTGTTGCACTTAATATCTAATCATATTCAAGACATCTTTAAATCAATTGTTAGCTTTTCCATAATATTTCCTAAAAAGCCAAGTATAAAAGGTCCACTGTAACATATAAGAGTTTTAAAAAATTTTATATCTCGTAAAATGAAAATTTTATTTCAAAAAAAAAAAATGAGTCTAATTCCTGTCATCATGAGAATAATCGCTAAAATATTGTCTTAAAAAATTTTAAAAATGACTTTATTGACAAAATTTTGAAAATGTCAATAATAAATTCACTTTTGGGGACAAACTAGTTTGGTTACGTAAAATGTTTATTTTTTTAGATAAAAATTTGATTCCAAAATGATAGTAATTCATCATCAAATATCAAATTTTATTGCTACAAATACAACAATGACACTTTTGGTTACTAAATTATTTTGTACCTAAAAAATGATTTGGTCCCTAAATTTTTGTCTTTAAAATCTTAATTTGTTATAAGGACATGTAGTATATGCAAGTTATGTCATAAAGTGATGTTGGTTATAGCACAAAGAGGTGTTGGTTATGGCTTGAATCGGTGGTGGGATCTATCAAATCAAAGTATGGTTAGCTTTTGCGTACAAACCAAGGTGATTTTTTTTTTGGTTATGGCCCATAAAAATCTTGGGATTATGGATAAAAATGATATAAAAATCTATTTTTTATACCCAGTGATATGGAAAAGAGACGATTGATTAATAATTAGATAATAGATAATATATGAAAGAGAGAGGAAGAGAGTTGCATTAAATATTTTAATAGATTGTCACCTTGGTTGGTTGGTTTGGGGAGGTCGACTGAAGACATCTTTCTTACGAAGTGTTGGTGCTCTTGATGCTAATGCCAGTTCTCTTTGTTTATTCTGTGAGGCTCATGAAGAAACTGTGTTACATGTAATGCTTCATTGTCAGTTTGTGTGGAAAATCTGGGCTAATTTTCTAGCATGGTGGGGGGAGTGCAATGGGTTATTCCAAGTTCCATTGAGGAGCTGCTGGAAAGGATTCAAGTTCAAAAGGGTGGAAGACAAGCTTTGGCATACATTTCCATGTGCCATAATGTGGTCATTGTGGAAGGCAAGGAATGAATGCAAGTTCCAAGGCTCTACTGTTTCTAGGGAGGATTTGCAGGGGCTAATTAAAGTGAGGCTGGCTCTTTGGGCAAAATATAAAGTTACGAATTTCAACTTCGCTGTCAATGATTTGGTTTTCAGACTTACGTCCATTAACGGTGGTTAGTGCCTTGTATCTGGTTGGGCCTTATTCATTTGTATCACCCCTGTTTTGAGTATGTTGGGGATGTGTGATTTGGTTGTTTTGGTTGGTTACTCTTTAACCATTTCTGTTGGATGGCCTCCTTTGGCAACTTGCTATTTAATAACTTTTTTAATTTTTTGGTTAAAATATCTGATAAAAAAAATTAGTATATTTAGAATGACTTTTTTTATTATTTACGAAAAGATGTGTAAAAAGTAGAGAAAAAATAGAATCTTGGTCTTTTTTTTGTATAGTTTGATAGCTTTTTGGCTTTTTTAATGACTTTTTGATTTTTAGACTAAAAAGTGATGTTCCCAAACGAGGCTTCCGTGTAACCTAGTTGGGATTAAAGTTCTTTGCTATGATGCTTATAGTACGATTCCTTTTCTTCTGTCTCTTCCTTTATTGATGCTCGATATAAGGTTTATCCTTGATTCTGGGGTGTTTTGGGAAGAGACCAAAAAAGCTAAAAGCCAGCTTTTTACCAATTTTGGGTCGCATCACCTCTCATATAAAACATTAAAAAAAAGCTCAAAAAGCCAGTTTTTTACCATTTTCCCAAAACACCACTCTATATCAATAAAAACTTATCTTTACTGATAAAAAAAGAAAAAAAAAATAGAGTCAAAATTTTGAGTTAGATTAATAAAAGGATAAATTACAAATACATTGCTTGAGGTTTGCTTAAAATGAGAATAGCCCCCAATAGTTTGGAAAATTACAAATACCTCCTTATTAGAATTTTTTATTTAACAGAATTAACTGAAAAAATAAAATTTCTAACTGTTTTTCTATACAATCATAAAATTATTTGAATTATTAATTGAAATAAAATTTTAACATCATTAAAAATTATTAATTAACTTGATTTATTAATAAAGGGACCTTTTTGTTATGAAATTAAAAATCTTAGGGGACAGAATGTAATTTTCAGAACCATAGGGAGTGATTCGTAATTTAAGTAAATCTCAAGGGGTGTGTTTCTAATTTACCCCACAACCCTGCATAAAAATGTTAAAACTCGTTGGATTTCAAACACTAAACCATAACACTGTAATTTAGGAAAGTACTTGAACCAAGACCTAACTTAAATCAAAATAAAATTTTGGGGCCTACAGTTTGGGTACTTGGTTACACCCGGTTTTGTGCTAGTTGATCTTACTCCATTTTTACTTTTATAAACACATATTTGGACCAATTGTTATGAGATAAATAATTATAAGAAGCAAATGTATCATGAAATATGACAATATTTTAGTTGTTTCCACTTCATCTGTGACCAACTTAGGATTTTCTAATTCTAAATGATAGCAAACGTCTGTAGCAATGTGCCATATGACAATGCTTTCATCAAATTCTAGCTCAATAATCCACTCAAATGCATCCAAATGTCCATAATTTGTAAGGGTCCACTCACCTATTTTTCTATTTGAAGCCTCAGATGTTTCAACTTCGGGAACATTCCTCTTCAGCTTGGGCCGATTTGAAGGGATTGGTTTCTGGCCAATGAGGGAAGTGGTGATAGAGTCTACTTCTGAGCATTTTGTAGCTGTGCTACCATCAGTCGTAGCATGGGAACTGCGAACAACATTCTTCTGCAAAGGCTTATCATCTTCCACAAAGATTCCTTATCTGATGGCATCTTCGATTTGAACCCCCATTTCATGAAGGGCTGGAAAGGTAAACAGAGGTAGAACAACCATCTTTTGCAGTAACTTGCCATGCAAATTCCAAACAATCATCCTGATCTGATCTTTGTCGGAAGGCCTTGTAGTCATCATCGAGGCCTTTGCTCTCCATCTCGTCACGAACTCTGAGAAATCCTCCTTTGGTTCTTGGCGGGTGACTTCGAGATCACGAGTTGTGACCTCGATCTGTGTGTTGTAGGAGTATTGAGCAATAAAGGCCTCAGCCAGCTGTTCCTAGTTCTATTTCACAGAGTCCTCCAATTTCGCATACCAGATTGCGGCCATCCCGGACATGGTTCGGTCGAAGAGAGACAACTTCTAGGCTGTGGTCAAACCCATTGGCCTCAGGATATCGGAAAATAGGTGGAGGTGTACCATTGGGTCTCCAGAGTCGTCGAAGCAGTCGATATGCGGCATTTTGAATCGGTCCGGCAGAGTCACGGCCGAATCGGTGTATGCATCCTCAATATCCGGAATGGACTTCACGCCCTGAGACTTCTTAAGCAGCTTTTCTAGCTTGCTTACTTTTAGTGCTGTGGGGTCCACTTCGAACTCAAAGGGAGAATCCAGTAGGTTGGTGGGTGTGGGTGCCTTGGATAGCTAGGGTAGGATTGGAGGCGGAGCCGGTCCCGTTAGGATGTTCGTATCTTCCTGGACTGTCTCCCCGAGTATTGGGACTTTTGGTGGGGGAGGAGCTAGGTGTGATGCAGATGCCCCGGTTTCCTGTGGTAGCCTGGCGATTAACTCTGCCTGTTGGGCCATAACCTCGGTCTGGCGTGCGGCAAATTCTGCTTGACGGGCAGCATCCTGCTACATGGCTTTCATACTTTCCTGGAGCTGACGCACCATCTCTTTCATACCTGCCATAGAGTGCTGGTTTATCTGAACAACCGGTATATCTATCCCTGCAGTAGAAACTGAGACCTCAGCCTGACTATTCATTGGTGGGGTAGATAAGGGCCACTGATCTAGTAACTGTTGAACTGGTGATCTGTGCCTGGCTGGCCCTTTTACCCTGCCTCTGGCAAAGGAACACTGATTGCCCTTGAACTGAATCTCTGACCTGACAAAGTCTATCAACACAAGTCCGATGAACCTCGAGGGATATTGGAGCCTTCTGAAGCTACGGTTCCAAGACTACCCCTGTAAAAGAGAAAACAGGCAGCATCTCAGCCCAATTTCACTGGAATAGATGTGAGCACAGCTGAATGACTGCACTCTCTACTAAATTCTACCCAAAATTTTGCCTATAAACTGATATCCTCAGGTAAAATTGATTCCCCCAAAATACTGATGCCCTCAGGCTGATACCCAGACTTGCAAACTGATACATGCATTCTTGTAGAGGCACACTCTAAAAGCACATAGCAAGCAAATGAGAACCAAAACAACCCTATGGAGGGGTAGGGTTTCCCTGCCCTATTTTGTCAGGAGCTAGGGTTTCACTACGCACACAGCGGTTTTAAACAACCTATAATCGGGTAAGCAACCTGTCCTAGCTTGGAATGGC